AATTTCATAAGTACATTAATAAAAAGAAAWTAATTTATAAAATAGAAATAAATAAGTATTAATTATTATTTGATTAGTTAAAACTAATCATCAAAAATTAATTTAATTATTTAAGTAAATTAATAATTAATTAAAAATAATAAACTAAATATGAAAACCAATAATAGTAAATTAATTAATTACCTATGAATGAAAATAATATTGGCATTTAAACTAAATTATTTAAATTCATAAGTAAATTATTAATAAATTAATAGTTATAAAATATAGATAAATAATTATTAATTATTATTTTATTAATTAAATAATAACTAATAATTTATTTAATAAATTATTTCAACCACTTTACCTATTTTTTGCCTCAAAGTGTAATTTTTAACTTTTATTATTTGTGAAAGATGAAAAACTAAAATAAAATGTAAATAAATCAATATATATTCTACATATTTCAAAACAACATTATTTATTCTATATATAATAAAACTTATAACACAAATCAATGTTTAGAAAATTGGACGAGACCAGCTAGTCAGATTATTGTTAAACCATGACCCAACCTACGTTCATACACCTAACCCTATTTACTCCAAAAAAAAAAGCCAAAACCATCCACCAAACTAGTCTAACCCAAGAACTAATGAATTGGTCGTGGGTAACATTTTTGCTACTTATGTGTTTTAAAGTATTGAAGGCTCCTTACCCTGCTATTTTTGGCATAAAACAAGGGTGATCACTTTAGCGACTTGGGAAATTTCATTCTTGGACCTAGATTTTGTGTTTAAGCCCTAGTTGAGGCTCGGGCCCTCATTAGAGCCCCAAATTTTAGGGTTGGGCATAGGCCTAATACTTTAAACCCGCCTTAGGCTTAACTTGACTCACATATATTTAACTATATGTATATTATAGATAATATATATGGTATTTTATATTACATAGAAATAGGGCATTCAATGGGTCAGGTTCGATCCGACGAACCCAATGTTCATGAATTGATTAAGTTGGTTATGGTTCTAGGAATCGGAACCAATAAGTTGACTCTAGTTCTAGATATATTGTCCCGATTATTATTGGTTTGGAATTGGTTCCACCCAGTCCTGAATCGATTCAAACCCGACCTAATAGTCAAATTTCTTCTCTTCTCCCCTCTTAGTGAAACCTTTTTCTGTTGCGACATTATCTTATTTAGGTCATAGTGACCAAAATCTAATGTTCAGTCTATAACACCGATGACCAACTATCCCCATTGACCTTTATTCACTAATGACATAGAGACAACAAACACACTACAACCAAAGGCATGGGTCATGACATATTTGGTGTTTCATTTTTCATCTCAAAAAGCAAATGTCATGCCACAAGAAATGAAAGCTAGGGGTACTCAAATTTGGTTACCGAAATGAAAACCAAATCGAACCAAACTAAATAAGCAAATTTAGTTTGATTTATTCGATTCTTGGTTTGATGGTGGCTTAGTTGGTAGGATCTCTAGTCGTTATAGCAAAGACCTAGGATCAAATTCTGTTGTCACTAGGGTTGGGGGATATGGTGCCTCCCATTGTGCAGCCCCTTGAATATATATATATATATATATATATATATATATATATTATAAGTTTATAAATAGTGATATATATTATTATATGTATTAATAATAATATATTATTCACGAGTTTATAAATACTAATATAAGTGAGTCCAAAACAAACCAAAAACTGAACCAAACTATATTAAATTCAGTTTGGTTATAACATCTAGTTCGGTTCAATCCAGTTCATAAGAATGGATAAATTGAAATGCTAGTTAAGTTCTTAGTTTTTTTACTTTTCAAAAATGTTAGGTCCTTAGTTCTAACCGAATTGAATTGAACCAACTAAGAAAACCATTAGAAATTTGTAGTTAAAAAAAATTCATTAAATAACTAGTAAAAATCATTAAATAATTAAAAGTTTTAAAATATAATTAAATAATTAATAAAATAATAAAATAAAATATTCAATAAAATTGTTAAATAACTAAATGATAGAATGATCAAATAATTAAATAATTAACAAAACTATTAATTATTACTGAAATAATATAATAACCATGATAAATGATTAAGCAACTAATAAGACATTAATATAATTAAATGACTAAAACATTAGTGGCTTAGTGCAATTATATTAAATAAATTTGATTTTTCTTTATAAATGGTTGAGATTGAATTCAATTAAACGGTTAAGATTGAATGGAAGTAAAAAATTTGAAAGACCCCTAAAATAATTGATGCGAACTCTCTCCCATGCACAAGAAACTCTTTCCCTCTCTATTCAGCTTCTCCCATTTGCACTAAAAACGGAAAGGAGAGAGAAAATAACCCCTTTGAAGGTTTCTTCTCATCCTCCACCGAAACCCTGTTTTTGGGTGTTCTTCATCGAGAAATCAGACAAACTCCATCGGTTGCTCCCTAATTTTTGAGATATTCTTCCTCCATATTCAAGAACGGAAATCCTAGTACGAGTTTCTCGGATTGTTTTCGCTCAAGAAAACGCATTTTGAGAGTTTCTTTGACTCCACCGAAGCACCAATTGGAGATTTTTCCCATCTCCGACGAACCGTAGGCTCTGGCGACACCCTCCTCTTACTCCACCGAAGCACCAGTTAGGAATCACTCAAACACCAAACGAAGTGGCTATCTTCTATTACTTTATATTTTATATTTTATTATTAGTTATTAGTTATAGAAGTATTTTTATTATGTGAAAATTTTCATTTTTAGTATTGTTTTTGATGAGGGCAGATTTGGCCCATCATTGACCTAGCAACACGTGCCATAATAGGATCATTGTATGACATCTCAATGCCACACGAACAACTGTGGATCCCACTAAGTCAAGGAGGCACACCTCGGACTTGTCCAAGCACCTCATACACAACTCAGGCACCTCAGTAGGGTGGCTAGCAGCACTTCATCTAGAGTTGACCTGTGGTACCCCGTTGTTACCAATCCAATGGAGAGACCTGTTCATGGGTCGGGTGGCCCGACGGGCCGGCCTGGCCCCCAAATGGGCTTGAACGTGTTTATAGGCCCGCGGGCTTAAATTCGGGCCAAAAAGCCCAACCTGCAATAAATTCGAACCGGGCTCGGGTTTTGTCAAAATAGCCCAGCCCGAGCCCGGTCCGGCCCGACCTAATATTAGACTTAAAATGAGTAATGCGATTATGTCCATTTGAATAAATATTTTGATTTGAGAATGTAAAACTGTGTTTTAAAATATAAAAGAAAGGGGAAAAAAACCATCTTGTAGGCCCATTGTTCATTTAAATAGAAAAAAAAAACTATCTGAATTTTTAATTCTAATTTGAATAGGAAAAATTGTTCTTTTTTATTAGGTCAGGCTTCGGGCTCGGGCTCGGGCCTAGCATATTTTCCTTAATGACAAGTGAAAGCCTAGCCCCAGCCCGGCCCGGCCCAGCCCGACCCATGAACAGGTCTACCAATGGACCTCGGTGTGAGGAGCGACCTTCTTGAGGACTTGCCAACCTGTGGTACTTCGTCAGTACCGGTCAAAGTGACCTCGACGCGAGGAGACAATTTTACTGGTTCGACCAATTGGATTAATGACAATTTGCATAAACTATGGAGTAGAGCTATTTTCGATCGAAATCTCGCCGGACTCTGGATGCTTGTATTCCAAATTCAAACGGGTCTTCGTCGATCTACTTATTGTGCCGGTAGTTTCCAAGAAACAGTGGTCTGTTTTGATCAACCAAAAATCCTCTCAACCAAAAATCCTCTTCTTCCCCACAGGCGCCGAAACCAGCTGCAAGTGTACAGTTCGATGGTGGACAGAACTCATTAAGGCAGAACATGCGATGGCTTCCAATTGTTAAACCTAGAGAAGGCGACCAAGAGAAGAGGGGAGAAGACAAACCAAATCCCAGATACTCCGGGAATAGTAGAGAGGAATTTGAAGGAGAAGATGACGGCTAGATAAGCTGTGATCTTTTAGAGGATGACATAGAGACGGATTGGGAAGCAGGGACCCAGACTGATGACTGTAAAGAACAGCTGGAAGACACATTTAGCACAGCTATTCTTTTCGTTCAGAAGGCAGAAGATGTTAACGAAGTGCTGAAACCATCTACAGACAGTCGGATAATTAACGAAGCCGAGTGCCACCTGGATGCAAGGGAGGAAAATCGAACCTCAGGTGAGAAGGATTCAAGCCAGAATTTGAATGAGGGGCAAGGAACTAGCCGGAAGACAGCGGTTAATCACCAGATCTCAAACATGGATATATCAGGTGGGGATGAACGGCAGAGCCTCAGAAGTACTGACAAAGGTGAATTAAGTCTAGGTTGTGGCCTGCAAAGTCATCCTCTGGTGCTGACTGGTCAAACCCAACCGATTGTTGATTGTCCAATCCTTCTAGACCCAGGTATTGCTGTGTTTTCGGATTTAGTTACTAACGCCCGCTCTGCTCTTGATGTTTGTCTCCCAGATTCCAGTCCTGCTTCCTTGCCGAATGGCCCTTGGATTAGAAGCTCCTAGAGGTGGTGTTGGTGGGGAGATACAGGAGGGGGTGAGAGGGAGCTGAGGATGTGGAACTTAATAATAAATGAGCTGGATAATTTGACTAGGGTGGAATTGGAGCAGGAAGAGGTGGTAGAGAGGAAGAACAGTGAATCCAAAATAGTTGAAGGAAGGGTGGAGCAGGAGAAGGAAAGCAAGAGGCACAGAGAGGACGGACATATACAGACTAAAAAGGGAGATGAA